TTCTATTCCATTTCCCCTGGGCTTAGCCCAGGGGGCGGGGGGCACTGAAATGTGTTGGGGATGTTTTCCACAGGAAGGGCATGCGTGCAAGGCTTGTTTGGAAAATATGCCTTTGCTTTCCGCTTGTCTGATCAGGACTCTGCACGCAGCATCATACAACCCCATAAGGCTGTAATGGGCCAAATCATCCTAATCCAATGTGGCATTCCGTATGTCTTCCTCTGCAAGTAGGTCAAGTTTAAGCCATGTTCCTGGCTTGTGCTCCCATTTCCCATAACCTGCTCCACGTGGCTCAAGTGTTGTGCTGGAGTGCAGAGCATGCCAGCAGGGTTTCTGAGCAGCCTCATAGGGACAGTCAGTTTTCGGACAGAAACTAGTGATTTTGTTCTGCTCTGATCTCGTGATGTTAAATTTGTGGCAGGAGAAAACTTCAGTGGCTGAAATGTGTGCTTTTACTGAGTCTTAGGCTGTTAGTTTACCTAATGAGTTGCCTCTGGACACTGCACTATACAATTTTAAAATCAGTAGTACTTCTGGGAGAGAAATTGGTTTGCAAGTTTTGAAGTGTACTGTGTTCTGAATGAGAATGCCAAATAAAATTGGATAGAGGTTGATGCTCTGTAGCTATGGAAAAACAAATAAGTAGCGACCTAAAGTGTACTTCAGGCTGGACATGTGAATATTTTTATGTTAGTGATTGCAATATGCAGAAGTCTTCTTGGTAAGGATTACAGTTTCAGTGTGCATTTTTTTCCATTTGTGCTGGAAGAGTTGTAGGTGAAAAGGTGGTTTAGCACCCACAGAGGTCACCTCCAGTCAGTGCACTGAATCAGCTATTCAGCTCCAAAACAAACCCCAGCTACAGGACATCAAAATCAACAGTAGGGCTTGCTGATGGCTTTGGTCTTCATACAGGCTTTTGTCTTTCTGGAACTGGAGCTGATTGATGTGGCAACATGCTCAAGAAGAGTGCTGGGAGTGTTCTTCACTAGTCAATGGAAGCTTAGTGTCAGGGTTACCTAACTGGAACCACATCTGGCTTTCTAAACTAGTAATTTTACTTACTTCAGATGAAGTTGTGGACTTGCAATGAAACTGTAAGAGTGCTTGATAAATTAATACTGGCTGAGCATGCCACTATGTGGTTAATTACCAACATAATTCACAGAACTACCAAAATCTTCCTGCTGGTGATGATTTTACAAGGCATCAAATATCAGAAGAGGTCACTGAAGCTAAATGTTAATAGCTGGATTTGTAGACTGCTTCTCATGCTATGTGTAAATTGTCATCATCTTTAGTATTAAATCCAATAGCGCTCTAGTCTTTCATATGTTCAGTTCTTTCATATGTTTTGGACCCAGAAAAATTGCACAGAGACTTTTTTTGAGATATGGAGAATATTTTGTCGGAGGAGGGGATCGTGCATCTTGAACAAAACAAGAATCTCTGGTAAATCTTTTTTTTAATCTGTCTGGGGCCTGTTGCATCTTTGAGCTAGGTTGCTTTACTCTAGATTGGTCCAGGTGTTCTGCTTACACAGCTCCTTCTCAGAAAGGTCAGATTTCATTTTCCTCTCTGCAGTGTTCCCTCTGAGTACAACAGGTCAGCTCTGCCTGCTCCTAACTTATGCTTTCTGAAGGAAAATAATGTTCAAAACTGATGGGCTATCAAACCTTTGCTGTGGCGTATTGACCTCCAGCTGCTTCCATGAATCTGGGAAGTTCCACAGAGGGCACCATGGCCTTGTTTCTAAAAGGTCATTTCAGAGCTCAAGAAGGAAGTGCTTAGCTTTGCCAGAAGAGTAGAATCTGACCTTTTGGCTCTTGCATTCATTACCTGGAATGCTAAGCTGAGAGAAAGCATACTCCAAAAAAGTGCTTGAGAAATTATATCTTCTCAATATCTATCTAAATTGAGTTTTCAAGCTCTTTGTAGCTTAAAGTCTTTTTGGATTGCAGCTGGGAGAAATGGCTGTTTTTAGAGTTCTTAAAACAGAGGAGGTTTTGTAGTTTTAAGGATGCCTGAGATCCTTGAGTAAATGTACACTGCCTCTTGATTCAAATTTCAGAAATATTGGGTTTGTCCAGTTTCAGATAGATTTCCATGCACTCCATAAAACCTGAATATACAGTGACTGTTTTGCTGTTAAGAAAGCAAATGTGATTGCACATCTTGTATGCAAAGCTCTGATGTGACTAAAATTTATAAAGATTTTTCAGTACAATGAACACACAAAGTGAGAAGTTTGGGTTGTGAACTTAATTATGGAAAAGTGTTCAAGCAGCTTTGTGTTCATGTAAATTGAAATACATTCCTATAGCATATCTTGTCATCTTGCTGCTGTCATAGTTGAATTAATCTATTATCATCAATTTCTCTCCTTTGCTCAGGGAGGCTCTTCACTGACCTTTACCTTTAGATCAGTTGCATCTTCTGCTTGAATATCACATTGACTGTTCCATTGTAGTGCCAAAGCTTTTATTATTAAGTTAAGTTTAATTCCTGGAAAATAAACCATATATTCTTTCTTGAGGGATGAAGGTATTTGTACTGCAAAACCGAGTCCCCAACTCCCTACTCATATTAGGAGGTGGTAGGTCCTCAGTGAAACAATCTGTTCTGCAGTGCCTCCATGCTCTTCTGTGAACTTAGCTTCAAAATATTTCAACCCTATAAGCATGCCCCTTCTCTGACCTTCACAAGTAATGTTATCCAATATTTAAGCCATGTGCATGAGCCTGTAAACTCTTTGGAGTCTGGTTAATATCAAAAGAAAAGGCAAAAACTACACAGAGACTTTTTTTGAGATACGGAGAATATTTTGTTGGAGGAGGGGATGGTGCAGCTGAAGCACAGCAGTAATTGCAGGTACAGGAATTCTCTTTAGGCCATTATCACTATTCACTGCCACATGTGTGATGCTTGATGTTAATGTTGGAATTGAAATATGTAGTATGCTGTTCTGAGATTGAGGTTTGGTTTTTAAATCTGAATCTGTAAACTGGGTCACCATTAAGCAGCTTTTACTTCTGTTTTTTTATTGGCCCTGTTGAAAATATTTGTTTAAGGATGCCTCTGTCTGCTCCCCAACAAGAAGAGAACATTCATAATCTGGAAGACTGAAATACAAAGTGGCTTACTCAGTCCTGTGTTGCAGAACACACTTGAGAGATATGGAAAAGTAATTTTTCCACTTTGTACTGTTGTGTGTTTACACAGCATTGGTGCACTTGTAGCTTTAAAAGAGTTTGCCATGCTATGGGATAGGAGGTCCTGGAAAAGCTGCCTCTTTGAAGAACCGTGTTTTAGTGGATTAGTTTTCAAGAAGAGTCCCTCAGCTGAATGCCCTAATTTAAAAATTCATTGACTTAATAGGTGCTTCTCACAGGCTCAGAAGTCTGATCTGAATTCCTAGGAAATAAGTTCGTTGTTGGGAAGCAGGTCTTGCATTTCCTTGAGTTTCAAGGAGAAGATTGAACACATGAAAAAGCCAGTGCACACCTCCTGATGACATGCTGTGTGCAGAGTCCCCTGTGGTCACCTGGGTTACACTCCACATCACAGTGCTAAAAGTCTGGATTCTTAACAGTCATTTGGTCATTGTGTCGAAGTTTTTAGAGCAAAGACTTGGGTTATTTTCAGCAGTTTGGGATTAATTGCCCCTTCCTTCTCAAGCTTTGTCTGGTTGCTGAATCTTGCAGATCCCACAAAATAAATTGTATGCTGTTCTTAGTTTGACCAAGTAATTCTGTCAGCCCAGGTTCTGAAAATTTGTTTTGCCAAACAATTCGTTTTGAGTTCACATTTTTTCAGTTTCCTTGACTCTTAATAAGGATTCTTGGTGTCATGCTATCTTACCTCCAGGTGAACATTATTCTTCAGTAAAAGAAAAAAATCAGGAAAAACAGAGCATATACTTGTTTGTTGGTATCATTAGACTAATTTGAAAATTGATTTTTTTAATGTTTTTTTGTGCTTGGATTCAAATGTCAGATTGTTCATGGGTTATTCTTAAATAATTTGTGTTGAGATTTTTGGGTGTGTCTTGCTTGTCTTGCAGCAGCACTCTAGTGAGCTCTTGGCATTTCAGAGCAGTGGTTAGTGGGTAGATTTTCAACCACTGTAAAACATGGGAAGGTTAATGAAAAGGCTGCTTTGTTATGAAATGCAGTTTTCATACTCCTGCTGCAGGTATTGATTTCTGAGACTTGTGGTAACATTTGAAACTGTTTTGATAATTTACCTGATCTCAAGTAATCTAACAACTATTTAATTTTTCTTCCACTTTTCATTTCTTTTAGCTGGGATGTGACAGCAAACATAAGAAGAACTGTTGAAACTTGATTTTTCTCCTGGTTTTGGAAAAGTCTAGTTTTTGTTTTGCTTGTAACTCTGTGATTTAATGGGAAAACTGTTCATTGGCCACAGATGACTACTGCTGAGAGGCTTTCTGAAATCTGTTTTTGATTACAGTGAGGTAGTAAAAAAGTGCTATAATGACACCAGTTCCATTTGAGGTTCCTTTTGTCCTAAACAATAATGGGTTTGTCTGGCACCGAGTGCTGCAGTTACGCAAAACAATTTCTCAGTCATCATAGGTCACATGTTCTTTATATGTATTACACAGAGATGAAAAAGAGCCAGTAATTCACATCTTTATTTTTGTGAAAGATCATAACTTCTCCAGTTTTTCAACAATCACTGCTCTCTAAGAAGAAGGGACATGGAAATGCACCGTACTGTGCACAGGTTATGCTCCCCATCGGAAGTGAATCCAGAGTGCAAAATGCAAAGGGAGCCCTTCTCCAGTGAGACCCAGGCGTGTACTTAAAATAGGAAATGGTTATTGGAACTAAATTATTTTGCCATTTTTATTTTTAGGTTTGCTGGCATGGGTAATCTCATTAAGGTGCTAACCAGGGACATAGACCACAATGCAGCACATTTTTTCTTGGATTTTGAAAGTAAGTCTCTCAGCCCTTCACAGCTGGTGCATTTCAAATGGTAACAGTAGGGTTGCAGTGAAGGCCAGGGGACTCAGTTGCAAAGTTGGAATTTGAAAGAGTTGCATGTGCTTTTTCTGTTATTTTTTTCCCTCTCCAGTAGTAGCCAAGCCACCATCATGCTGCTGTGTAAATTTTCTTTCCATGTGCTTAGTCATTTTGGGTCTCTGTGGTCAGTGATGTCCATCCATCTGCCTGCAAATCAAATAATCATAAAATGAGAAATTCTGTCAGTATGCCATAGTAATCTGTGCTGAGCAGTTGTTCGCTGTGATCCTCTCGTACACAAGAGTGGGTGCTAAATCATTCCTGATCCTGCTTTGGTCATTCATTGTGCCGTTAATGTAATAATTTTTTTTTTTTTACATCTGAAAGTCTGAAGTGAAACTGAGTTTCACAGATATTTTAAGCACCTTGTGTAAAAGATCTGTGGCATATCACTGTTAGCATTTTCTGCACACTGAAATGGTGTATCATGATGTGGTTTTCTACAATGGCCTTCTGACACAATTATAAGGGCTGACAAAATTAAAGCTCTTTTCCTTCTGTTGTCCCATCAGGTTAAAATGTAGCATGGCTAATGCTTTCAAATCTGGTACTTGGCCCTCAAGGCAGTACTCCTGCTCAGGACACTGGTGCTAGGGTGTACTGGGACAGAGCAGTCCCTGGCAAAGCCTTCGCTTGGATTCTGCCCCTTTCCCAAAGGGGCAGCTCTGAGGATGTTGGTGACACGGTCACTCCTTACAGGAAAGCTGCACTGCTGGGGTCACCAGCTGTGCCTCCTCGAGGTGGGGATGTCCCTTCACCCAGCCTGAAGGACGGGTTTGTACCTGATGGAACTCTCTGGTCTTCTTTTCCCACTGCTTCAATCAACTACATTTGGGCTGTTCTTTCTTATAAAAAGAAAATTCTCTTTTCTCTCATTCTTGTCTTGGCAGGTACCTTAACATGGGGAACCTTCTAAAAGTTTTGACATGCACAGACCTTGAGCAGGGGCCAAATTTTTTCCTTGATTTTGAAAGTGAGAAGATGATTTTATATATCTATTACTCTTTGCCTGCAGTAGACTGCATTTGTCTTGTACTAAATGTATGTTTTCATTTTGCCATCCTTCTAACTGCTTTGCATGCCTGAGCTATGGATAGTTGTTCAGCAAACTTTGGTAGAAAGCAATAACCTGTTCTAAAATATCCTCAGGTCCTAAAATGTAAAATCTTTATTTCAGGAAGGGCTTTCAAATTACATTTGACTGTTGAAACCTGATTTGGTTCTTGTTTTTAATCCAAAATTTTGCCTACTTTTAATCAAAATGTTAAGAATAGTTGTAATTATTTGGAGACTTATGGAAGTTGCAACTGACTTACTCAAATTTGTGAGTTTTGTCCCATGCTCCGTAAAGGAAGACTTGAAATGAAACCCAAGTCTCATCACTTCCAATGTGACTTAATAATGCTGCATGCACAGACTGGCTCACAACAGCTATTCATAGCTCCAGCATCATCATGTTAAAGGTTTATGTGAACCTTACTGGATCTGGCACTGAAATTTAACCTCGTGCTTCTTAAAAGGGAGTCTTAACGTGTATAGAGATGAAACTGATTTTGAAAAGAGGAGACATGTAGCTTGTCTGATCAATGCCAGGTGTTCTAGAAGGTTCACATATGTCAGTATTTCTGCTTTTGGTTTTTGTTGCATGATACAGTATAGCCTAAGAATGGCAGGTAAGTGTTGCTGGCTTCTGCTATGCATGTTTAATTACTTTCTTTTGAGATGTGCTCTTTCTTTAGCCAGCAAGCATAAAATAAGAAGAATAATGTTTAAGTACATTTTGACCATGTAATAGAGTACAATGGAATAGCATAATAAAAAAACTGATGAAGTATTATGATATGGATAATTTGAGGTGCATTAAATCTTTTTTCCCCTGAATTGTTTTCCAGTTGTTTGATGAAAAAGTAGCAGTTTTTAATATTATTTATATGAAAGCAAATGCTTGAAGAAATATGGTTTTGCTTTAATGACACTTGAAATTACAGCTTCTCTAAACTCTTACCCTGTTGTGTTGATTTTTATCACTTGTCTCTTCTGAATACATTGTTATTTGAAGATGCTAACCATACAAATTATTCATAAAGGGAAGATTATCAAGGCCTGTGTTCAAAAATTAGGAAGCAAAATTTGCCTAAGACAAATTCTCGCATATCATCATATTAGGTAAAATTTGGTCAAGTGGGAGAACTTCTGTATGAGGCCATTGGAGTTGTGAAGCTCCAGCTTAATCTGCAAATATTGAAAATTTAACTGGAGTAAATGAAATTCACGTCAGCTGGATAGAAGAGGCATAGTTCTAAAATAAATTGCAGTAAAAATTGCTCATTTTTTCTTTTTAAATACAGATTCTTTAGCTATCAGTTTTGTTTTAAAATGCATGTTTTGAGCATGAACAGGATTTGGCATGAGAGTAAGCAGGTTGCTGACATGAAATGCTTTCATATACAGTCAAATTAGGTGACTTATATTATGGCTGAATTGTTAGACTGTTCTTTGTTCATTTTGGACCCTGTTCTGCATTTGTTTCTGCCGCTATACTGTGTATCCGTGCTTCTTTCTCCTCTGTTTCAGATAGCTTGCCTTGACAGGATCTTGGCTTTGACACAGCCAAGATCTTTCTTCAAGACTTGGCACTTAATCTTGTGATACTTAATGTTTGTGGTTTTGTGTGGAAGGACAAGTAAGCTCTGTATTAAAAACAAATTTGCCAATTCTGTGTTACGCCTGACTCAGTAATAGACAGCTTGAAGTCTTTTGTTCTTAAATCCATGTATGTGAGCAGGCTCCAATGTTTTTTACATAGTACCATAAAGAACTAAAACCTAATGTTCATAAAGCTTTGTAGTGCTAGAAACTTCAAATTTTAGACTTCTAACCATTATTTTTCCCCCAGATGTTTATCTGGGTGCTCGATGCCAGTGATTGGTGTGACTGACTATCAGAATCCATGTAACAAATATGAGCTATAGGCTTTTCCTTGCCTCTGCACTGATTAAGCTTATGCTTTCTTTGGTCATTCACCTTACCTATTTTAAACAAATAGTTGTCTGAGTGTATTTTTAAAGTCTGTGCAGTGCCATTAGAACATGAGCAAAGCACACAGGTCCGTATTGTTTACATAAAACAGCCACCTAAAATATGGGAAAATTACAGCTCAGCTTTTACATTGGTGTCATTACTGTCACAGTTGCAAATCCTTTCCAAATTTTCTGATTTGAATAGTAGCTAAAATACAGTGTACTTTGAGATGGTGATATCAAGCTAGCACTGACAGTATCTTGCATTATCTCCAGAGGACTTGGCCAGATTTCAGAGGAGCCACAGAGACAGCATTCTCCATAGTAATGCCAACAGAGATGAATAAATTATTTCATCTCCAGCAGTCTGGTATTTTTTCTCCTTGTTTGTGGGTTTTATCCCAGACAGTTTCAGATGACTTGATGTGTTGTTCCTTGGGAAAATTTTCAGCTTAAATAGTTTGCTGTGCAGTGTAAACTTTTAACCCCAAATTTCTCTCCCTACTAGTTCTGTAGGCTAGCCAAATATTATTTTAATAGTCACTAAATGTGTGTGTTCCCCACATGCAATATGTTGTCTCACTTCTGTAGTATTTAGTTCACATAACAGCGTTTGTATATTGTTTCAAGTCTCCTCTTCTGTCTCTAATACATTACTGTGTGAGCATTCTGAACTCTGTGTATATTGCATCTAGTGCAGTAACATTCTGATTAAACACAAATTAATTTCAAGATGAACTCCAATGTACTTACAGGACCTCAGTCTTTTCTTACTATTGCATTAAAAATAGTAAAGTTGCCCTGAATAACTATGGCTCAGCTCCTGTGGCCACAATATCAAACCTCAGAACATCTGGGTGAGCTGTGATGTGCTTACTGGGTTAGTTCTTTCTATGGAAAGCACTGCTGATCAAGGCACAGCCTTGTAGCAGGAGCTTAAATGGACTAGGGAGAAGGGAAATCCATTAAATTGTCTATCTCCTTCATCCTTCTGATGCCTGGCACTGCTGCCTGCTTTTTCTTAGCCGAGTAACTCCAGAAGTGCAACTCCCTTTCCTGCTCTGTGCACTCCACCTTGGGGAAAAGGAGTTCCACAGTTGGTGATTCTCAAGTGAAGGTCCTGTAGCTTGAGCCCTCAGGTACATGCTGAGGGGTGCTGTTCCCATAGTATGGGAATGCTGTTTCCATCTGTTCAAGATGATAAGAATACTTAGGAAGAGGGACCTCTCCCTCTTTCTTCCCTGTGATGGGCTCCCAGAATACATTGCCCTGACCAGCACTGGGAAACAAATAAACCAATTTTGCTCTGGGTCAGCCAGCATTAGGCCCTGAAGATTTTTTATATCATGCCTTTTAACCCTGTTCTAATAACATCTTAAATGTTTTGTGAAGGGATTATAAAATAATTTAAATTTTCTTTTTAAATTTGACTTCTTTTTTAGAGATGGCAGAGGAAATGAGTTGGGACAAATCAGGTTTACAGATGTCTTTTATTGGAGAGGACTAGATTGATCAAAAATGAAATACATACCAAAAGAAATAACTCAGTACCTATTTGGTTTTCAAATAGATTGATGTTTGGAAGTTTGTAATAATCAGAAAAAACAAATTAAAAACCCCGTCATCCCAACAAATTAAATACCTACTATTGGTTTAAGTTACCTGGAGCATTTTAAGGAAATGAAATACAGTAGCTGGCTGTTTACATCCTACACTGAGAGAGGTGATGATGGTGTTGATTTGCCTAGCCAGCTGTCCAGTGAAAACCACTAAATTTGTATCTAGGAGATGATTTTCAGTTCTAAACATGGAGGGTCATAGTGCTGCAGCTGTTCTGCTTGTTGGTGGGTTTTGAAATGAGGAGCAGGAATTCTTTTGGTCCCTTCTGCTTTGCCCCTCCTAATCTTGAAAAATGAACTCTCCTCGCTACATAGGGTAAAGAAAAAAATGGCATGAAAAATTAAATAGCCAGGAGATGTTCTCAGTGTGAGACAATCCAAGTGACAAGTCTTGATTGCATTATTTAACAGCACAATCTGGAATGCTACAGAGCTTCACGTCTTAGTCTGTATCTCACTGTAACATTTCATGTTCGTGCATGAACTGCTGCCAGTCAGCTGGTGCTTCCCTGTCTGCTCTTTTCCCTCATTTTTTGTCTTCATTTCTTACAGCAGTCTTCAGCAGCTTTCAAAATTATGTGACCTTTGTGATGATCTGAAAAGCACTGGCCACTTTTACTCGATGCCTAATCAATGTGGTGCTCTTTTATTTATTTATTTTCAAAGGAGTGACCAGGTTCTTTTTAACCTGTGCTAATTCTTGATGTTTCTCAAAATACCAGTTAAACTGTTGCAAGGTCTATATATAGGCATATTTGCTAATAATGCCCACTCTTTATGCATTAAACTATAAAAATTAGAGGTATTATGAAAAAAATTACAGCAAAAACCAGATAGGCAATGTATATGAAATTTATTTTCTCCTAATAGAAACTTTGTTTTCTCTTGTGTTTTTCTAGTGTGTAATACTAAGATAATGTGTGAGTTTTATTTCAAATGTAAAGATGTACCTAACTTCCATGGGAAGCATGTCTAAAAAGACATTTTCCAGACTCTTCAAACTGCACAAAGTCATGAGGATATATTGTCCTTAGATAGTTTCTGTCTGTCCCTATAAAAAGGATCTATTGTTAATACTCTATTTTTTGGCATTGGAAATAATGGACTAAAATGCAATGATATTTATTCCATAGCACATTTTGCCCATGTTAACAGAGAAGTGGTGTTTTTTTTACAAGAGCTTTAGTAACTAACATTTTTTTTTTTTTATGAGTCTAAAAGGAACCTTATAACTTCCATCAGCATTTTAAAAGAAAAAGAATTTGTTTCAGGTAAACCATGTCTGAGATACTTGTCCTAGGTGATTTTTTTTTAAAGGTTAAAATCTTTTGTTGATTCTTCTCAAAACAGACTTCTTACAGAATCACATTTCTTTAAAAATGTACATATAACTTTTTGAAATTATGACCCAATATGCTTTTGGGAAGTCCTTCATTAATTAAAAGATAATGGAAAACAGCTTATATCTTCAAAGACGGGACAAAAAAGAAAAAGCCCTTCACAAGCTCACACTAGATCTTTTTGTTCTCAGCTCTGATTGTGCGATGAGTGCAGTAAAGAATAATTTTTAATAATTAAATATATTTAGAAGTAAAATATATGGCTCTTTCCCCAAGCAATTAAAGAGGAGGAGACAAGATGAAAAATAATCTGATGCAGTGGTTCTAGATAATAATAGACATGGATACCTCCTGTGCTATCTGCAGTGAGCGTGTCTTTTGAATGCTCTAAGTTTCTTCCAGTGAGTCTCGACTGCACCCCAAGGTGAGATTATATGTTAAAGACAACTCATCAGGATTTCTTCTCCCACCTCAGTTTTAAAAAAGTCAAGACGATAGAATCCAGGTGAATTTTTGGGATGGTAAATAAAGAGACTATTAAAATGAATACAATTAGTCTCTTGGATTTCCTTATACATTGTAGTAGCTCTTCAGAGAATGAAAATTCTTGATGAGTTGCTGCATGAAGAATTTGTCCCGTAGGTGATGGTGTGCCTATTGAATTCCATGTTGTTGTTAAAAATAAATATATATACATTTAATATGTTCTGCTGTTTAGATGCCCAACCTACAGAATCTGAAAAGGAAATTTATAATCAGGTGAATGTAGTGTTAAAGGATGCAGAAGGAATACTGGAAGACTTGCAGTCATATAGAGGAGCTGGCCATGAAATACGAGAGGTGAGCTAGAGCGTTACAATTGTGCACAGCCTGTGGTTGTCCATTGTCTGATCCTAACCAAATACTGCTGGGGTTTAACTTTGCTTGCAGGAGCTGTTTTGGCAGAGCATGTTTTCTTTTAAAATCACTGTCTTGAACTTCTGCTCTGGAATGTTTCTTTTTAACAGCAAAACAGATGTTGCTTGTTTCAGTCATATTAATCCACATATGTAATAGCAAATGATGCTTCTCAGAGTTTTTGGGGTGTTATTAATATTGATATTTCTTTGGGTTCCCACATAAGCTCATCTCGAGTTGATAGTGAGTTTGGAAAGATTATGGTGTGACTACAGTGCAATACTGAGTAGTGTTGACATCCTCTTGTATGGTAACTGGAGAAGCCTGGTTTGGTAATCCTAATACAAAAGGCATCTCATTTTCAATCCCTTTTAATTGGCTTTTATTTACTAAAGTAGATGTTTGGAACAGCAGCAAAGTTCCTGTACAGAATGTCACTCCATTTCTCCTTTGTTTAATAAAGGGCGGAATAAATATTCACCCAACCCCCTTTCTTCCTCACATGCAGCTGGGGGCCTGCACATGGGGGCTGCTTTGCTCATGAAAGGAGTTACTCATTGTAACATATTCTTAAGAAATAGTATTATATAGGAGGAGTCTCTGTTCACTCCATAGCAATTTGAGATACTCCAAGCCATTCAGCTTTGAGAGTTTTTCTCTCCATGGAATTGCTAAGGTAGGTTTAAGAAGGATGACTGTGTCACACACAACCCTTTGGAGGGGAGATAGCTTACTTGTTCTTCAAGGAAGCAGCGTGTCTGGGACAGGCTGTAGGATCAGGTAGGAATGTGTGTGTGCAGATGCCATGGAGAAATGAGAGATACTCCTCTGAGAGGAGGAAGAAATGGCAAGAAGGAAACTCTCTAGGACCAGAGAGGAGTGCACTGCAAGCCACAGCCCACAGTTGACTGAAACAGTTCTTGAAATCAAGAAGTTGACAGTGAAAATGCTGCAGGAGAGTTATGAGCATTTTTGTTTCTGTTTTCTTGGTATATTTTCAGTTGCTGACTGGAAAGGTTGAATTTAAGGTATTATATGTCTGGAGAGTTTACTGTAAAGACAAAGTCTATAAATATATCCTTCAAAGCTGTGGTGTATGCTGTGTGCTGGTGGTGCTTTATGTTGTTGATTATGCTTAAATGTTCCTGCTGTAATAGTTAGCCTGAATTTCACAGCATTTTTTTTCTTTGCAAATTTGGGAATTAGTGATAGATATCAGCATTAAGATAAGGCTTTGATCACTAATTTATTTATTTTTTTTTTTTTTACTTGGAGTAAGCACAGTTAAGTTGTTAATTTTAATTAACTGGGGCTGGTTATGTAAATTTTCTTATCTGAGTAATTTGATTTTTAACCATTTCTTTATACTCTCTCCAAGTTGTTTTCCTGTTCAGGATGCTTACTTTCAACACAAATTTTTAGACCTTTTTGGAGCAGATATGGGTTAGTACATGCTTGTCTCTCAACTGAAAACTTCTTAGTAGGTAGATTTTTAATTATTAGCTCTTCAAACAGTTGTCTTACATAGGTGTTTTGGTTTTTTGTGTTTTGCTGTTTGGGGTTGTTTTATCAGCAGTGTATCAGTTATTCCAAATCCAAGCATACTTTTCTCTTCTCTTTTTCTAATTCAAGGCAATACAGCATCCAAATGATGAGAAGCTGCAGGAGAAGGCATGGGGTGCAGTTGTTCCACTAGTAGGCAAACTAAAGAAATTCTATGAATTTTCTCAAAGACTAGGTAAGTGGAAAATTGTTAACTTGGGGTTTTTTTTTTGTCTTAATTAGTATATTTGGGATATTCAGATGTGATCACATTTAGGTCAACTCCTTTGTGGAAAAGAGCTCATATTGCACAGATTCCTCCATACACTGGATGACAGCAATCTTGCTTCAGTGGGTATCTGAGAGGGGAGAGAGGATGGGATCATCCTTGTTACTCTTCCTCTACTCCTTCAGTAACTCAGGAAAGCAGTAAGCAGCTGATTGACTGGAAATTAGTGAACTAAATAGTCAGGAATGAATTCTGTCAGTGTTTTTGATACCAAGAAAGAGACTGTATTATTCCTCCCTAAACACCAGAAATAATTTGCTGTGTGGGAATGCCTGATCTTGGTTCATACACATGCAATACTTGAGATGGTGCTTCATGCCTCTTCTGAAACTCACTGATGTGATGGCAATGCTGATAAAACCTATGAGACTTGTTTTTCACCAGCTTTCTGTTTTATCTCACTTTTAATCAAGTTTATTAGCATAGTTTGTAAAAAAGTGTATTTAAAACATTAAAGTTGTTGCAGGCAAGTTCTGCTTTTTAAAATGGGTGAGATATTTTTCTCAAGAAGATGAACAGGAAGCTGGATTATAAATTTATCTTAAATAAGGTATGACTTCTGCTTACAGCTATGTGCCTCTTGAATTCTGTGTTCTCCTAAAGGCTGAAGTCTGCTAACACAGATTATTGAAGTATGTTCTGCACAAATGTTGCAGACAAAGCTTGAGTAGAACTTTTCAAGACTTATTTTTTGTGGCTGTCAGTGCTGATGAGATGTGGTCTGTACAGCAGTTTGTATGTAAATATGACAGCAGTTGACACATAGATGAGCAATTCATCAAGTCCCTTTATTATTAACCACCATGTATTTTGGCAGCTGCGTATTTTAACTCTAGCATGCAGAATAGCAGCCAGTACTGAGCCAAGAAGCAGGTGCAGTTGTTGTTGCAAACTCTCGTGTGGTTGCAGAGGCAGGACTGCGGGGCCTGCTGGGAGCCCTGACGAGCACTCCGTATTCCCCAACACAGCACCTGGAGCGAGAGCAGGCTCTTGCTAAGCAGTTTGCAGAAATTCTTCACTTCACACTCCGATTTGATGAGCTCAAGGTAAGAGTTTGTAACCAGAAGGGCTGGAAAAAGAAGCCAAGTGTGTTTACTAAAGCAATCTGGGTTGTGTTCTGTTCTGGAACAGAATGTGCAGTGGATACTCAAATATCCCAATATGCTTCGCTTGCTCTCATGACCTAGAGTTAGATTAAACTGGAAAGCAGATGAAAATACCATATTAGCTTTAGGCACTTGCATTTCAGCTCACATTAATCATATTTCTTCACCCAAATTTGGCATATCTCTTGGGATAATGCTGCTGCTTTAGCTTGTGTGCACTCATAGTCCAGCTATTTCCTTGCTATGTGCAAAGAACTAAGCTGAAATGATAATTAATTTGCTGGTCTGATCCTTGGAGTCAAATTAGCAAAGCAATTTTTTTCAACCTACTAATTTCCAACTTTTATTTAGGAGATTGTTCCTTTTCTCATTCCTGTTAGAGCTTGTTCTGAATCTGAGAAACCAGAAAGCTTTATGTTGTGCTTACCAGTTCACAACATGTCACAGGCCCTTTTGCTTCACTTCAGGAAGTTGAATATTTTCATGTTGGGTGTATTATATTTTATGAAGACTTGTCCTTACTTTTCTTGAATTTGTCACAACTGTCTTGCTTCCATATCTACATAGATGACAAATCCTGCTATACAGAATGACTTCAGCTACTATAGAAGAACTCTGAGCCGTATGAGGATTAACAATGTCCCAGTAGGTAACCCTTGGATAAGATGAAATATAGTCTTCTACCACCTCTCTTCTCCGTGTACAGAACAGCTAAACAATTTCTTCTACTTTTTAGGCAGAGGGAGAAAATGAAGTAAATAATGAGTTGGCAAACAGAATGTCTTTATTTTATGCTGAAGCAACGCCAATGTTGAAAACCTTAAGTGATGCCACAACAAAGTTTGTGTCAGAGGTAAGAGTATAAATTTATGGCTTGGGTAATGTGCTTCACAGCACTGCAGGGCCAGACATAATGGGCAACACAACCTCCACCAGGCATCTAGAAATAAAACTTGGGTTTGGAGCCTCAAGAAATGTAACGTGTCTTTCCCAGATGCTGTAGAGTTAGGGACTCCAACCAGGCACTTTGTGTATGCATCCCCAAAATTTAATGGGTAGTGTCACATCAGCAGTGATGGCTTTCCTCAAGCAGGGAGCTGGGACAGGTATTTTGCCTGCATTGTGGTGGTTTAGAGCAGAAATTTCAGGAAATTGGAAGGGAAACAGCTTGATTCCATCTGCTTGAAATAGAGAATGGAATTGAAGTGTAGCTTCCAGTTTCCTCTTCGCCCTCCCAAGACTCTTTTGTTACACTGTGTAAAGTCAAATATACTACATTATTGCAAAAGGGAGAAGGAACCTGAACTGGAAAAGTATTTCAGCATGTTGACACATCCCTATATTTACCCTTGACTGCCTAAGTAAATATTGGTTGTAAAATCCAATCACCACAAGTACTGTGCTTGCCTTCTGGTAACTGTGATGATTTTTGGCTTATGTGTAAAGAATGCTCACTATTTCTTAGTAGAAAATAATTTTACATTACATGATTAATGCAAAGTTACATCTGTCATTTAATGTTTTTTTTTTTTTTTTTTCTCCTGAGTTCTGCTTTATGCTTGAAATGCCTTGAGAAAACTGTCTTATTTTACATTTATTTGTGATGGTTGTCTGCCACAATTTTAAGTTTTGCTATTACAGTAGATTAATATATTTGGCTATAGAAATTTTTGTCTTTGAAGGAGCAGGTTAGATGATGATTCCTTCAAAACTTTACAAAAGTCAGTCATGTCCAGAGTTTAGTTCCTTGGCTACAAACAAGCAGCCAAAACCCATGTGGTAGCCTTTGCTCTGTAAATTGCTAATCTATATGATAACATTTAAAAAAGCCAGTGCAAGTCTACCTGACTTATCATAGTTGTGTGGATGCTTTTAATTGCTCCACATTGCTATGCCAGCAGATAACTGATTTGACTTAGGTTTTGTAGTATAATATTTCACAGTAATTGAATTGTGGAAACTGTTCACCTTCTTTTGCAGAATAAAAATTTACCAATAGAGAACACAACAGACTGCTTAAGCACCATGGCCAGTGTGTGCAGGGTCATGCTGGAAACCCCGTGAGTACCAACACTGCTTGGGTTGGGTGTGAGTCACCTCTCTGTTTCAGACCTGACTTGTGATGCATGAAAGAAATAAAATTGGAGTAATTAGGAACTGTGATGTTTTCTTTTTATCAACCTAGTTGTTTACACTGACATGAAACCACCTTGTTTCATTTTGCCAGCCATGGAAATTGTGCGGTCTACTTTTCTGAACATATTAATATTTAAAAATAGAATGGCTATGGAAGCTAGACAACCTCTTGGCACTCTTTATAAGTGGTTTTCTCATGTATTATTCAGAGAAATAGGCTATTTGAGCACGATTGCCTAGGGTCTCCTGAAAGAGGGGCTGTGGGCAGTGCTCTGGATGTTGTGTCCTTGCTGACTGGCCTGGCTGATTGCTCCAACAAAATGACAGTGCTCTTCTCAGGGGAATTAAGAGACAACTTCTAGGCATGAAGGCAGTCAGTTGTCTTCTGTTTATTTAAGAGGCACTGGGAGTATGACCAAAGTCACACTAATCTTTGGTTATTTTTTAAAATCTGTTTCTTCTGTATTCTAAATAGTTTTCTATTGGTAAAATTACTGGGGCATGAGCCATGTCTTTTTAAATAAGTTTCTGTCCAAATACCACAGGACATTTGTTTTGGAGTACACTAAGAGCTCCAAGCATTTATACTCTTACTCTTCTTAGGAATGGACTATTCTAAGTAAAAAAGCAGTTAAAGGTTGTCCATTCGCCTGCCCTTTTTTTTCTAAGTCAGAATTTCGAGTGTGTATTAGAAGATGGCAGGGAAAAGTGTTGGAAGCACTGGAGACAAAGTTAGTATGTATTGTTTTAATACTTTTTAAAATTAATTTTTTTAAATTTAAAGAACCTGATTGCTTTAGGTTTGAGAATTTTTATTAATCTTCAGGTAATTTTCTAAACAATCATCTGACTTTTGGCAGGTTATTGAAAGGAATAAAGAAAACTCTCAAAAGTTTGGGGTTGGTTTGTTTATTTTTTCTCTGAGGATTTATAGTAGAATTTATCACTTTAATCTTAATTTGGGTGTTACTAGTATTTACTGTTATCTTGTGTTTCATAGATAATAAGCTGTGTTTTTAAATTCCAGTGAATATAGAAGCAGGTTTACAAATGAGGAAACAGTATCATTCTGTCTGAGGGTAATGGTGGGTGTCATCATACTCTATGACCACGTGCATCCGGTGGGCGCTTTTGCCAAAACTTCAAAAATTGATGTAAGTTTACTATTGCTAAATAATCTCCTGAGTATTTAAATTGTGTGTAGGCTCCTTTTGTGTCTTGCAGATTCTAGTAGCAGATGTATGCAGTGGGTTGGTGCTAAACACGTAGCTGTGAGCAAAAATATATATTTAAGTAGTGAGAAATACAAACAAGGCCTTCAGACATGTAAGTGGGTCATGAAAAATCTGTTTTTATGTAATTCAGGTAGTGTTTAGAAATACTTGTAAGCAGTGGTTGTGATGAAAGATCCAGATCAGAAAGTAACAATGGCCCCTGGTTTGTTCCTCACTGACTGCTCAGTTCACCATCCACCACACTTTCAGTTAACTTTCTACTGTTGTTTCTTAGTAAGCCTGTGGAATACATGCTTTTACTCTGTGGTTTTGTGGTTATTTCAAAGGGAGTATTATCCCATTGTATTAACTACAGTTGGTCATTATTTCACTGGCTGAATGCAATAATTCTTAATGGATTTATGATAAACATGTATTTTTGCTCACAGTTCCATTTTTTTTTTAAGGTTGATAAAGCAGAGCTTGAAAGTTGCATTCAGTGAAGTTATCATAGAACAGTTTGGGTTGGAAGGGACCTTAATGATCATCCAGTTCCAGCCCCCCTGCCATAGGCAGGGACACCTTCCACTAGACCAGGTGGCTTAACACCCTGCCCAACCTGGCCTTGAGCACTTGCAGGGATGGGGCAGGCACAACATTCAAAGTCATTCCCCCACATCTTATCACTACGTGCTCTTGTAAAATGTCTCTTTCCAGCTCTCTTGTACCTTTAGGTACTGGAGGGTGCTCTGAGGTCTCCCTAGAGCATTCTCCATGCTGAGCAGCCCTAATTCTCTCACCTTTTCCTCACTGGAAAGGTGCTGCAGCGCTCTGATCATTTTCATGACTCTCCTCTGTACTCGCTCTGGACAGCAATGTCATTTTTCTGCTGGTGACACGGAGCTGGTCCAGGTGGGGTCTTAGAAGAGCAGAGCAGAGGTAGAGAATCACCTCCCTTGCTGTGCTGGCCACATTTCTTTTGCTGCAGCTCAGGACAGTGTTGGCTTTCTGGGCTGCCAGAGCGCTTTGCTGGGTCATGTTGAACTTCCCATCCAACAACACCCCCAAGCCCTTCTCCTCAGGGCTCCCAGTCCATTCCCTGCCCAGCCTGTGTTTGTGCTTGGGATGGAGTTGCAGGACCTTGCACTTGGAGTTGTTGAGCTTCATGAAGTTCACAGCTCCTACCTCTCCAGCCTGTCCAGGTCCCTCTGGATGCCTTCCCTCCCCTCCAGGCTGTCAGCCACGCCACTCAGCTTGGTGTCATCAGTAAAGTTGCTGAGGATGCACTTGATGCAGCTTTTTAAGTAGCTAAGCCAGTCTGTGATAGGAAGATGTAATACTGACAGCTTAATTCCTTTCTAATATCCAGAAAATGTCTTTACACTGCTGCTATTTTTAAATACTAATTTTTCATCTTTTACATACTGAATATAAAACATTCCCGTAAACTCAGAAGGTATTAGCATGGAAAAAACGGTAATTTTTTTTTAACTCCTAGATGAAAGGATGCATCAAAGTTCTTAAAGACCAGCCTCCTAACAGTGTAGAAGGCCTTCTAAATGCTCTCAGGTACTCCTTTTTGTTTCTTGGGTTTTTTAAATGTTTTGATGTGAGTTTTCATAAATTGTCCAGGGCATTTTCTTTACAGCAAAGTATTCAGTGACTGTTACAGGGAAAGGTGAATGTAATTATTGCAGGCTTTTCTTCTAATGTGTCTTGAGACAAGGATGTGTGAAGAAGCCTCTGTGTTTTAACAGGGTTGTGAATTTGCAGTTGTTCATTCTAAGATAGTATTTTCCATGCATGTAGGTTAAGAATGAGTCAGTATGGCATGGTAAGTAACTAGAAATTGTTTCTTTTCAGAAAGAACTAAAGGCTTGAGTCTCTGCTGTAGAATAGATGAGACAAGAATTTGCAACATTAATTGGAGAAGTAAAGAAAAATTAATAATTCAGTATATTAATCCAAAACCTGCTAATTTGGGTTGTAAAGCTGTATCTATAGTCAGTCACATGTTCATTGTGTGGGTGTTCAGCATGGGAGAAGGGGCAAACAGTGCAAAAATGTGATAGGCAGATGAAATCTTTGTTCTTGTCCTTGCTTGGAAAAGTATCATTACTTTGGTAACAAATAACTGTGACTGGGTGTTCTTACTCATGGTCTTGCTTGGAATGTGGCAGCTTTAGTTTGTCTTGTCTGAAATTGTGCAGTTGTGATTTGTTTTCCTTATCTGTAGTGAAGCTACTTTAATTTCACTTGCCTTCTTTTTATTTTTTGTATCATGATGTAGTAAGGAGTTAAATAGTGTGGTGGATTCTTTTGCAAAGTTAGTTCAGATTATTAGTTAAAAATTTTTAAATCCATGCCTAATTTGAAACTTCATGTGATTATTTCCATGCTAAAATCATATTCATCTCTGAACTTCTTAACATGATCAGTCTTTGAGATGGTGATCAGTAAAAGCAGAGGCTTCCAGAGGGAAAATGCTGCATTAACATTTATTTCTGACTATTTATTGTGATTGCAGCTGCCATGATCACCAGTCTTTACGAGTAGCCCATTTTTCCCATCATTGCTGACACTATGAAAGTACATGGAAGGTGTAGTTCAGGTGCTCGCTGCACTAAGCAGTGACGTTAACTTTTGGTTAATTACACAATTAACTTTGTGGTTAGCAGTGTAAATCCAGTCTATGCTCTCAAGCTGTGCTTTCCCTGCTCTAGCCCTTCCCATGGGTTAGGACTGCTGTAACAGTCCTGGTTTTGTACATTTGATTACTCTCTGGGTAGGATATTTAAATCTTTTCTAAACCGTGTTTGGAACTGTTAGGAAGAGATGCAGGGTGAGCTGCTGTGTGCTCATGTGATGAAAACAGGTTCAAGATGTCATTGTGACAAATTAAGTCCAAATCTAAGTCTTTGATTCTGGAGGAGTGAGAAGTCCTTGTGTTTTCCCAAGAGACTGACAATGTGTTTCAAAAACAGATGGAAGGTGGTATAGGATTTTGGAGGGAGATCAGCTCTTTGTAATTTCAAATTCATCTGAGTATTGTAATCATGTTCAGCTTTTTCACATGGGCAGAATACCAAGAGCAATAACTTCTCAGGATTTCAGAAAACCTTAGGCTTCTTGTTTGTTGAAAGAATAAATTGCCAGAAAGTGCTGAAATCTACAGAATTATTAACTTAAAAACTGAAAAGTAATTATTTGTCAAGTGAACAAGTAAATAGTACTGCGGTTGTGGATAACAATGGCAGTGGTAATTTAACATGTTAAATTTAAATTATGAAGTAAGGTTTATTTGCTTTTAGCTTAGGAAGGAAGATCAGGGAAATTAATCATACAAGAAAGTCTGCAATTAAGATATCTTTTAAAAATAGAGATAGCTAGGTTTTTTATAGTGATTTAAAAATGTGCTGTTATCTTAGATAATTTTGAAAGGAGAAGGAGTTGAAATAAGCACATGTATATGCTCTTCAGTTTTAGCAGCACAGTCACTTCACTAAGCAGGAAATTAGGTTGAAAAGTGATTGAATCCATTGTCATTCAGGGATCCTAGGAAGGTTTGGTCACTGGAAGTTTTGAAAAAGAATTTTCTCAAGCTGTCTTATTTGAAGATTTTTCCTGTGGGCAGAGCCCTCAGAGTTAGTCAGATGGATAATTAATTATCTGTCACAAGTGGTACTGTGAGCTTACTGTGAAAGCCAATGTCCAGCTGAGGCTTATTTTGAGCTCCCCTTGGTGCAAAGCTGCTAGATTCTAGTTCTGGTTGGCGATATCATTTTCTGATCAGAATGTCTGACTTGTGTTCTCAGTGATTGTGGAGTGGGTGATGAGCCATGGCTGAGGGTTTTGCTCTGGTACAGTCAGGTTGAGCCATAAACAAAGAAATTACACATTTGTAAGCTAAAGTGCAATAGCATCTATGCTCACCTTGACTTTATTTTTGTGTTTAGGTACACAACAAAGCATTTGAATGATGAGACTACCTCCAAGCAAATTAAATCCATGTTGCAATAACAATTACCTGGAATTCGCACCTGCTGTAGACAGTATTCTGCAATGAATGAGATGCACAGAGATTTTTTTTTTTTTTAGTGATTGCAACTACTATCTCGTTCATTCTTGCTTTTTATTTTCTCTCTTCCTGTTTACTCTTTTTTTAATCACTTTCTTGTACCTAAGTAAGCTCAGACTTCTTTTCTGTGCCAAATCAATAAATATTATCAATTCTGGAAAGTATTTCTACTTTTCAGAATAGCCATCCTAAGTGGCAGCTAATTATGCGTTGCATTTGGATTTCTCTGTACTGGGGAAAGATTTGTGACTTGAACTAAATATTTTTAAACTTGTGGGTTTTTTTCTTTTTTTGAAAAACTAATATTTAATATTGCTTCTTCTGCATGGCAAGACTGCCTACTTCTGCTATTTAAAAATCCCTTGATGACTTCATTTTCTATTGCAGCTTATTTTCATGTGCAGCCATGAGGAAACTAAAAGCAGATTTGTTTAAATTAACTGTGTTTGTACAAAATGGTACCCAACACAAAAGTTTTTTTAAATAAGTAAAAACTGTTTTGTTTAAAAGTTACGTTTGCATTTTGACTCATTTTTGTAAGGATGTATGTTGTATGTTTAACCTTTAATAACTAACGTTAAACTGTGGTGTGTGCGTAGCAAAATTACGTATGCATGTTCATGTCAAATGATTGGCTGTGGATAAGATAATAAAATCAGCTTTCATTTTTCTAAGTGTGGTTTGATTTACCAGTATTTTGAGTGAGATGTCTTCGTGCTCTTTTGGATTTTTACAAAAAAATAAATTTATAAATTTTATATAGCGAAAACTCTGCTGTTTCATTACCAGTAGCCAGTTGCCTAAGCCACTGATTTAAGCCTGGTTGTTTTAGGGTTCTTGCTCTCCACTCTGTGCTGCTTCTCTCTCCCTGAGAATTATTACTCAGGTAGGGTTTGTGGTAAGCAAATTGGTGCAATCCATATAGATCCCAGTGGACCCTGCTGAAGAACCTGTGTCTGGGCTACCCGTGCCACTTCCTCATACAGCCATCAGAAATGACTCTGCACACTGAGCTCTCTCCACACCACGGGTGGGGAGATGAACTCCCCTTGCTCTGTACTGCTGTGTACCCTTATGGATCTAGGTATTGTACTGTGTAAAAGCTGAATAATCACAGCATATTAAATAATGTTTCTTCTTAGGGAAACAATTTATAGCAACAAGACTTACACAGGTTGGTGAAGAACATTAAAGCTCTTTTGGGAGGGAAGGGATTGAAGGGGGAAAAGTACAGCCCTTCCAAAGGACCTTGGCAGGTTGGAGAGATGGGCAGAGAGGAACTGTCTGAAATTCAGCAAAGGCAAATGCAGGATCCTGCACCTGGGGAGGAACAACCCTAGGCACCAGCTCGGCTGGGAACTGACCTGCTGGAAAGCAGCTCTGTGGAGAAAGACCTGGGGAAGAGCAGCTGTCCGTGAGCCAGCAGTGCCCTGGGGGCCAAGGCCAGTGGTGTCCTGGGGTGTGTTAGGAGGAGCACTGCCAGCAGGCTGGGGAAGTGATCCTGCCCCTCTACTCAGCCTCACCTGGAGTGATGTCTGCAGTCCTGACCTCCTCAGGACAAGGCAGACATGGAGCTCCTGGAGTGGGTCCAGCACAGGGACTGGGAACATCTCTCTTACAAGGAAAGGCTGAGGGAGCTGGGCCTGTTCAGCTTCAGAAAGAGAAAACTGAGAGGGGACCTCATCAATGTCTGACAGTGCCTGCAGGGAGGTGTCAGAGGATGGACCAGGCTCTGCTCAGTGGTGCCCAGCAATAGGACAGGAGGCAATGGGCAGAAACTGACGCCCAGGAAGTTCCACTGAATATGAGGAAGAGCTTCTTTACTGTGCAGTGACCAAGCACTGGCACAGATTTCCCAGAGAGGGTGTGGAGCCTCCTCACTGGAGATATCCATGAACTGTCTGGACATGATCCTGTACCGTGTGCTCCTGCTTGAGCAGAGAAGTTGGTCCAGATGATCCACTGTGGTCCCTTCCAGCCTTACCCAGTCTGGGGCTCTGTGAGAACAAAAATTGAGAATGACTAGAAAACTCTGGGACATAGCATTGTTTTGCACTGATGAACAAACATGAGCACTCTTTGTGTGTGGCACCATTGTGATTATGCCTAACATGAGTTGTCAGTGTTCTGGAAAGGAGACTTGAAACCTGCAGGCAGGTGTGACTGCCCTCAGCTTTATTTGGTGGACAAGTAATGTTTTGTAACTGCATAGCATGCTGGCTCCAGATAGAATTTATCAGTGTGACCATGCTTGATTTCCTATGGATATTCCTTCTGCACCATCAAGAAATATTTTCCTTTTTATCTTTGTTTTGAAAAGAAGATACCTGCAAAATTGTAATTTGTGACACTTGAAGACCTTGAAGGAGGTTCAGGTGTGTGCTGTGGGCATCTGTATATCCATCTCTCTTAGGGCAATACAGTTTTTCTTTCTAGCCAAAGATGCTTAGCCAAGGTCTCTGTCACAGAGAAACCGACCCATGTGCTTTGGCTGGCCGCAGGAATAAAATACTGCTTTGACATGATACTACTCTAGTCCTTTTGGCAATATCACAGTTGAATCGAGCTGAAGAAAGACAAAACTGGATTTGTTTGGGGTTTTTAAAAAGAAGAAAAAAAAAAATCTTTCCTGGAATCATGTGAATGCTACAAACTGTATACAACTAACCCTTCTGCAGGGATCTAAAAGGGAAACTGTCCTCATCAGTTCATCACCCTGAAGAAAATATAATAATTTAGTGTCATCCTTGTTGCTGTGAATACAGTTAAGAATAATCCCAGGAGGAGCAAATCATGTTCCTTCCAGTATTACTTTTTGTAAGTAAAGCTTTCTAAAGGAAAGCTAATTTACAGAGAATGGGTTTTAAGCACAACTTTTGTATTTGACAGTTTTTACTACTGATTTTATTGAAAAACACTTGAAAGAGTAAATCAGGTCTGAGTGCTGTTGTGGCAGAACCAGCCATACAGCATATTTCTTCTTTGTCTTGCCTCAGTGACTGCTGCCTAAAACAACACAATTTCTTCTTCATTTGACTGTTTTGGACAGGTCTTCCTTTCTGCTGCCCTGATGGCATCTTTGCTTTTAAACATTGTTGTTCCTGTGGTCTGAGAATAATTGGAGTTTTCCTTTTTTTCCTTTGGCATTTGTGTTTTGCAGTTTCTCTGTTTACGCAGCTGGGATGGGAGATTAGAGCTGGCTTGCCTTGGAGTTCTCTGGCCCACTGCTCCATAAGCTTCCCCACTCCTGAGGTTTCCAAGAAAACAGCCTTTTCCAGTGCACCAGGCATCAGCTGTTTGAAGTTTTGAGCTGAAACTGGTGTGTGTTTATTTTCAAGGTTTGGTACTTGCAAAACCATGCTTTAAACTTGCCCTCTTCATTTTATCTGTGCCAGTGGACAGGAGAACAGCTGGCAGGCCTGGCACTAAGTATGGGTCACTAAATAGCCTCCATGTAAGTTTTGGGGGGAAATTTGGCAGCGTTTGGATGGCACCACCCTGTTGTGTGTGATAGCCCATAATTTTGGGGGCTGGGCTGGGTAGCACTCAATGGTTAAAGTAAATGCTGTGCTCAAATTAGCCACTCTCCATGTGCTGTGAGCTAGTGTAACCAGCCTGTGGCTGTTGTGGATGAAAGGCCTTCTCCTCATGGTGCTGTGTCTCTGAGTGTAAACACCATTGCTCCTTTCTTGCAAGCCTCAGATGCCAGGCACAGATGGGTCTCTGGGGGAAACCTCTGCAGTGGTGTGTGTGATGTGTGTCACAGACAGTAAAGACACTGCATGGCTGACAGTGTGTGCCATGAGTGGAACAGATCTGGAGCGGAGGAGCCTGAAATGGCCATGTTTCATGTGGGCTTGGAGCATTCCTGTGCAAACATCTCATTCTGGGTGAGCTGATGTCCTCTGGCTGCTTTCTCCTGGCTTGCACAGCCAGTGCCAGCATGTCTTGTGGAGCAGGAATGTGATTGCTCTTCAGACTGCTGCTTCACTTGAAGGTTGCTCATCTTCTTTTTCTTTGAGTCTGCTTAGCTTGGTATTGTCTTTCTGTCCCTGGAAAGACTTAGACTGGTGAAATAATTAGCAAGGAGTAGTTAAGGCAGTTGCTCTGAGTTTATAGCTAGATGTGGGATTTGAGGAGTGTGTCAGTAAGAAGTTCACTGTGATGGTTACCTGGATGCTGCAAATAGGTGTAGTCACAAGTCCTCTTGGATGCAGGAGGCATCCCTGAGGGGGCCTTTTTTGGCTCTAGTGATGGGATTCCTTATTTGTCAAAATCTTGAGAAATAACTCTGTGAAGCAGCTTCTTCTGTCAAAACAGAAAACTGTAGTAGCAGCTCAGGGACAGCGGAGCAAGGACTAGAGCAATCCCAGTATAAAGTTCATGGTATCAACTTACATATGAATTTTGTAATGAATTACTATCACACATGCTATTTAAAAACCAGACGATTGAAACCAACTTGGTGTGATCTGGCCAGTGGTCTGGTTCCCCCTGTGCTAATGCCCCTTTCAGGCTGGTTTAATCCCTCAGTTTTATTACTGTGGTAAAGCTGGCTGGACAGGGTTACCTCTTCTGTCAAGGTTTCAACAAAGGGCTGTACCTGGTGACCAAATCTGGCCAGCTATAAGCTGACCCTGTCTCTTACATCTGTGTACTGCCATGGACTCTGTCACAGCGGTAGCAATGAGAAGTGGGCCTTTGTGGGCTTCTGTGGGCCAATGGTGAAGTTATCGAGTTACTGCATGTGTGTTACAAATTACAAGATTAGGCCAAGTGGTAGAATCGAGTTTTCTCAAGGGGATCTGCCAGATTAAGCACTGGTCTTCTGATCTCCTGAACATATACAGGGATATCATGTGCTGCAGGAAGATGTCAGATACAGCTGACACTGCTGAATCACTTCAGCCCTTGGATGTCTAATTGTATGGGTTCGCTGCTGTAATTATTTCACCAGCAAGTGCTCCTGTGCATGTTAAAAAGTTACACAGACTTGTTGTGTTGTGAACATGCTTCCTGGGCTACACTTACTTGCAGGCTTTCCTCAGTTGCCCTGCTGTCATATGTTTTAGAGCTACAGCTTCACCCAAGACCCTCTGTTTTCCTTTTGAAAGCATTCATCTTACCTGTCTTATATATGCAAGTGTGTTGGTGCTGTCAGTTATGTTCCATATACTTGTAAGAAATTATTGAGGACAAGTCTTAGGATGCCCCATGAGACCTCAGTTTGTGCAAGAGGAGTTGGAGAAATTCAGGAGGTATATTTGTCTTCTCCCCTTCTGCAGTGTGCTGTGAACCACAGCAGTCTGCTACCCCCTGCAGGCTCCTGCCCTAGAGCCCTGCATTCCCTGCTCCTGCTTGAGCCCTGTCCCAGAGCCAGCACTTCACTGCAGGGATCAGAGTGTCCAGGAGTTGAGATGAGGAGTTACAGGCACCTGGGGACCATGATGGTGAAATGAGATATAGGAGTGTTGTGCCCTGTCCTGATTCCTGCTGTGGGGTTCCCTCATTAGAGATGGCAAATTCCTGTTTGGAAAATCCCAAGGTCTCCAGAGGAGTGTTTCTCTGCATTCTCCCCATCCTTGCAATTCAGGGTGTATCACTGATGTCCACATCCTCAGAAGCGAGGAGAGCTCCTGCAGGTGACAGCGGTGACCTATGTGGTCATGGTAGT